TTATAAGGTACACCCACATGGGTACAATGTGAGTTAAGGCTATGGATCAATCAATAAAATTATAAAGTATAGTTGCTTAGGTAATACTAATCCAATGGGGAAGCATGTCACATGGCAAGTGTATATGGAAAGAACAAAGAACCTTCTAAGAAAGTGATGAATCTGAGAGTCTTGGTCACCCACTGAAGTGACTGATATCTGTCTAGATTTTATTAGGCCAGGTGTTACCACTTTTCTTGGACTGGTTATGGTCTTTGTCTTGAGGCCTGGCCCCTCCAGCCACAGTTGTAATGAGTATTCATTTCCTGCACTGACTCTCTCAAGGGCCTGGCCCTATCTAACTGCCTATAATATTTCTACCTAACACAAATTTCTGTGAATTCCTCTCTTTCATAGGGTTGGCAGGGCCTGTGAGTACTTTTAAGTAACAGGATATAGGAAAGATGACAAACATGTATGATTCCATATATATGATCACATACAATTCTAATGACCTACTTGCTAAAACAGATGCTCTCTCTGCTGCTGGCCTTGAAGAAACAAGCTGCCATTTGGAAAAAGAACTGACAATGGACTCCAGCTGACAACCAGCAACAGACTACAGCCCCTAGTCTAGAAGCCAACAATAACTGGACCTTACAATTACCACAATAGCTTGGAAACAGGTGAATTTCCAGTTGAACTTCAGATAAAACAACAACCATGGGTTACACCTTGATTTCAGCCTTATGTGACCCTGAGCAGAGACATCACTAAATTGTGTCAGATGTCTGACACACAGAAATTGAGATCTGGAAGGGATTTAGAGATGGCAGTGATGTGGGTAGGCTAACAGTATTGAAACACTTAATTTGGCCAGATCAGAGGCAAGGGTCAAAATGGGTAGGACTGGTGACAGGAAGATCCTTAGGATATTGTTGCAGTGATTCAGGAGAAGGCTGAGCAACAGCTGAGCTGGGGCAGTTATAGTGCAATGGACACCATAAATGATTAAAGAGATCCTTGTGTGTTTCTTAATCAAAACAACGATAAAGTAAAAACACCAGGAGATAAACACATTTTTTCTGGCATCTGTACAGTGATACCTGTGTTCACGAGCTCAATTCTCTCCATGTTTCTCGTTGCAAATGGAACTGGAGGAGAACTGAATCAGTATTGAACCTAAGACTTAAATTTGATTTGGTTCTCATCCAACTCACTTTGTGACTAGAATCATAGAAAGAATCAAGTTTGTGAATTGAAGTACCTCTGTACATAGCCCTACCAGAGTTCAGACAATAAGAACAGTTGATCACCTGGTTTTAAGCTCATGGCTGTCTCCCAGCCCTTCCTGTGATCTGGTAAAAAGCTTATCTGTTTGGTTAATTTCTTACTGGTATGCACTTTCAAGAAAATATTCCAGTATACTCATTTGTGTACAGTAAAGTGCAGACTTGCCCAGAGAACCAGAGTAATTATTCATCTATGGAAATGTGAAAAACAAACCCAGGTAACCAACTTGTTGACTTGTTATGATGACACCAGAGCCAGGGGCAACTTACTGTTCTTACAAAGATTCACACCTTAAGGCCAACAATTCTAGTAAAAAAGGTATAGATCCTCTCTGACTGGCTTGTTCAGTTAACAAATCTTCATCTTGCCCAGGGCCCAAAGTGGCTGCAGGGCTGCAGATTAGTGTTTCTATCACCCATCTAGGCCTTTGTGACAGCCTGGCTTGGCAGCACAGCTGCAAAAGCAGTCTAATGCTCCAAAAGATCAAAAATTATCAAATTGGCCAACTTTTCTTATCTGCCATCTTCTTTATTCTCTATTCTTTATTCATACCCCTAGAGTGTTTGTTTTCTTTAATCTTAAATTCAGCATTTTTGGGTTATTCTGAATCATGCTATTAGGCAGAAAAATTATAGAGTTAAATTAACTCACATTGAGGTGCTTACCACTTTATGTTTTGCCCCTTGCAATGTTAAGAGCAGCTAAATACCAGGTCCAAGACTCTTAGTAAGCTGGTTTGTGGTAATCACTTCACAATGTATGTTTCAAAACATTGTATTTTTATACATGCTAAATATATTCCATTTTGTTGTCAACTATACCCCTAGAAAACTGGGAAAAAGGCTCTTAGGCTGCTAGAAAAAATTGAATACTCAACTCCAGTACTTCTGATACACTCAAGTTAGAGCCCAGAGTAGAAAGGAGTTGGGTCGGACCTGAGCTGGTGAATTTGGGCTGATGCATCCTAAAGCCATGACCTCCCCATTCCTCTGACCCCTCTGGCCTGCAAAAGTAGTTAGTAATCTCTTTTGTTTACAGACATGGGAAAGGCCTTGGTCTTAGGCTCGTAAAACATCTTGTATTATTGAAACTACGGTCCTCTACCCCCTAGTAAAACAGTAAATTACAAGCATTCTAAATGGCTGAGATCTGTGCCTCCCTTAGGCACCAAACAGATTCAGTTGTACCTATCATATCGTCATTTAATTCATTAGTCTCTACATCACAAAAATCCAGACCAATCCTGAAGAATGACAGACTACTCATTCAAGTAGTAGTCGTAATTGTAAATGCTGTACCATTAGAGTATCTTTTCTAGAACAGATTAACACAGCCTCAGTTTATGGTGTGTGGTAACTGAGATGCAGGAAATACTGTTTTTTTTTTCTGTCCCTAACAGGAAACAGTCTCAGAGGCAGTTCACATTGACATGGAGCTGACAAAACAATAGCATGCTTTTATCACTTTGCCCCAAGGCTGTATTAAATTTCCAGTCCTCATCTTCACATAGTCCAAAGGGAGGTGGACATTCCATAAAATTTCACATTGATCTACTACAGTGAGGACATCATGTTAATTTAACAAGAAGTAATTGAAGGCTTTGGTAAAACATATATAGCCAAAAGCATGAGAAAAAAAAAACAGTGATAATTCAAAAACGAAGTAGCATCACTGAGATTTTTAGATACCTGGTGGTTTGTGGGACACCAGGATAGCCCCTGCACCATAAAGGCCAAAGTATTTGTATTTCCTGCCACTGAGAAGAAGAACAACACCTTGGTAGCCTTCTTAGTCCATGAGTACTATGGGGGCCAGTTCAGAAGTAGTTTTACTCTTACCCAAATTTTCTTTACAGGCTTCTAAATTCAAAGGGTGAGAGGAGAGAGGGCACAAGGAGGATGAGGAAAGGACAAATGAAAATGGAAAGGGAGCAGATGACAGGCAAAGCATATGACCACAGGAAGAGAGACAAAGGAGAGGTGCCAAGGAGAGTAAGGTAAGAAGATGAAAAGAGGTAAACCACAAGAAATCAGAAAATAGAAGAATAAAATTATATGGGGAGAGAGAAATACAGATGAAAACAAATCAAGGGGAGATACTGAAGAAGAGGAGAGAGGGCAAGGGGTGGGGGGAAATAAACAATTTCTGAATTCTGATTAGATGGAAGTAAAGCTAGTTCAGTTCATTTGAAATAATACCATGATGAAAAAAGACACGATGACTTTACATACCGTCTTAGTTATTTTTCTCATTGGTGGAACACAATACTTGACACCAACAGTTAAATGAGGAAAGTTTTATTTAGCTCACAGTTTGTAGAAGTTTTAGTCTATGGTCAACTAGCTCCAAGTCATAGCAACATGGCAGAAGGGCATCACAGAGGAGAAACCGTTCATAGTGGGCAGGCAGGAAGAAGCAAGCAGAGAAGCAGTAAACCTTCCTTATCTTTTTATTTCATGCAGGCTCCAAACTTTTTGGTGGTGCTACTCACACCCAGGGTGGAGATTCTGTCTTCAGTAAATCCATTCAGCCACATGCAGAACTGTGCTAATTCCAATCAGTGGGTTAATTTAGTATCATGTACCCATCTTATCAATATCACATACCCTAGATCCAGCCAGCTCCAAAAAGCTTCACTTACAAGAATGTAAATCTTTGATGAGACATCTAGATACAAGTTGTAACATTCATATGCAATTTTAGCACATTTTCCAATATTTGTGACTGGCTTATCTCACGTAGCGTAATGTCCACAGTGTTCAGCCATATGACAAGATTTCTTCTCTCAAACTCTCTCTCTCTCTCTCTCTCTCTCTCTCTCTCTATCTCTTTCTCTCTCTCTGTCTCTCTCTCTCTCTGTCTCTCTCTCTTTCTCTCTCTCTCTCTCTCTCTCTCTCTCTCTCTCTCTCTCTCTCTCTGTTTGGTACTGGGGATTGAATACAGGATGTCTGCGCTGAGCTTACATCCCAGCCTATTTATTTACTTATGTATTTTACTTTGAGATAGTGTCTCCCTAAATCGCTTAGTTGCCCAGGCTGGACTTGAACTTTCAATCCTCCTGCCTAATGTTCTCAGAGCATGTCAATGACAAGTTTACACCCCACATCCAGCATCCTTCTTTTCAATGACTAAATATTTCATTGTCTGTATATACTCCATTTTGTTTACCAGTTCATCAATGGATCAGTTCATCCACTGATCAACAGTATGTTGCTTCCACTGCTGGACTATTGTAAATAATGCTGTAATGAACTTGAATGTGCAGATATATCTTTGTGATTCTTCTTGCATATATATATATATATATATATATATATATGTATATATATGTATATTACACATATAGGAGAGATTACAATGTAAAATTACTGGTTCACATGGTAATTCTATTTGTATTTTTTAAAATATTTCCACAATTGTTATTGCTGTTTCATTACACAACAAAAAATTTTAAATGATTTGTAGACTCCATCTAGTAACATATGAAATTTTTTTTTTTTTTGTCTTTTTCGTTTTTATCGGTACCGGGGACCGAACTCACGACTGCCTGCTTGCAAGGCAGGTGCTTATGCCGCTGAGCTAAATCCCCAGCCCCGTAACATATGAAATTGAAATCCAGTACTCAAGATACTGTTTATGACTGAATGTATGTGCTGCTCAGTGTACAGGATGTGTAAGAAGTCCTTGCCTGTTATTTGGTTCTTTCTGCTGTCATCTAAGTTCATCTCTCAGAAAGCAAAAGAATCCATCTGATGTTTCAATAAATATTGAATCCCCACCAAAATACTTCCACTGCTACTTCCACTGCTGGTTATGAGCCCTGTCTCACTGCTGCTTCTGGATGAACTAACATGAGTACTGCTTTCATGGGGACTGGTGGTGGTGAGACACGTACTTCTTGCTGTTAAGGGTACGGTGAGACTATCCGAAAACATAGGAGGATAGTACTGGCGATCAACTTGAATAAGGGAAAGAAAATCCAAACCTGGAAAATCTGGTGACATGCTTGATATTAGTGTGTGGTGGAATGGCATGGAGTAGTCTGTTAATGAAGGCAAAATAGCAGCAGGATCAGCTGAAGTCACACTGGGCACCCTTATAGAAGATAGCTGATACACAAGAACCCCTTTGGTTGGGCTGCTTTGTGTTTCTGACATAAAAATGCATTTCCTTTTGGCAGGAGGGTCTTCCTCTTCATCAGAAGAACTTTCTATTGTTAGGTCAGTAATGTCCACTTTCTTCTTGCTTCACTGGCTACAGTCACTGAACAAGGCTTACTGAGGACACTTGAACTTTATATTTTTGCACATGGTTGGCTGGATGTTTTCATAGCTTCTTTCTTCAGCCTCATTGGATACCAAGAAATGTCTTCTTGGAAGTTGATCTCATCCACATCAGAACACTCACTGAGAATTTCCATAGAAAGTCCACCTAATATTAGACTTTCATAGGCAGCTTTTTTGTCACACACAGGACAAATCCAGGTGGGCTTCTTTTCATTCATTTGTAGATAAATATCAGCATCAAAACACTGCAGATATGTACATGTCACTGCATGGCATGGGATTGTTAGTCTCACTTTTCCTAGAGGACACATCAAGGACACACAAAGACTTGTAGCAATTTCACTATCAGGATCTGCAGTAAGTTTTTCTTTAATTAGTGCTCTGGAATGATCAAGGTTTCTAATACCTTTCATTTTTAATCTCTGTAATGGCTGATGTCAGTTGTCTTACAAGATACACAGACATGGAATAATTCTTTCCAATTTCGGATGCCCAAGAAATAGCAATCTGATTTGGCACAGCTGAAGACAACCTAATTAAAGATGTAATATTCAAGGGGCACCCAGGGCGCTTCTGCTTAATCCCGTTTTTAGGTGGTGGTACATAGCCAGGCAAAAGAAACAGTTCCCATTTACTTTTATACACAGAATATTAGGAGAGTTATCTTCTTGAAGACAGCTTGTCCTTGCCAGGCAAAGTCTCAGCTGAACTTGAACTACATAATCTCTCTGACCATCTGGCAAAAAGTCCCTAAATATGCATATCTCCCTAATTTGTTGATGTGTCAGAGAAAAACTAAAAAACTTCTCTCGAAATGGCTGAATACTGCTTTGAACAGAATGGCTAATATGAAAAACACTGATAACGCCAAATGGTGACTAAGATGCAGAGTAACTGGATGGCTCCATCTATTGCTGGGAAGGATGTAAAGTGGAACAGGAACTCCTCTGCTCTTCCAAGTCTGCCATTTTATACCCCTGCGGGCCCCGCTGCAGCCACCTCTCCCCAGTACCGAAGCCGCCAAAAGACCTCTGCTACCACTATGGCTGCCGCTGCTTCCAGCACCATCCAGCAAGGGGAGCCACTGAAGTCGCTGCGGCCACCAACTGGTAATTCTATTTTTAAAACTTTGAGGTAACTTCCTACCAGTTTCTGCAGTGATTGTACCATTTTACAGCGCCCCCAGCAGCCACAGTGTAACTCTGTGACACCAAAGTGACTGTTGGATAAAACTGCAGAGATAGCCAAGGGTAAAGATAGTCAGATTAAGCGTGCTGGGGGTTCCCCAAAAGGTTATTTTTAATTAAATATCACTAGCAGCAGAGCACTCACTCATCAAATAAAGAACATATGAAATGCCAAGAAGAGATCACTTAGTATTTGCACAACCATCACTGCCTTTGATCTGTCATATTTCCATGGGCACAGACATTGGGAACTAAAGGAACCACATAAAACAAGACATTTAATGAAAGCCCATGATAGGGGTTCTGATGAGTGGAAATTCTCATTTTGGCATTGTTCCACCTGCTTTAGTGAAAACAAGAAGGAATCAAAATCTGCTTTCAAAACTATTGGCATAAAAAAAAAACTATTGGCATATTTTAATATACATCTCTAGACTCCTTGCCAGCCATAAAGGCAATTTTCAGTGTTCCTTTCCTGTTGATGTCAGAGACAAATTTCAGACAGAATTTGTACTTCATCTATGCTGCCGCCGCCGCTGCTGCTTCAGATCCCTTAATATTCCTAGTCATGAATTTGGCCCTGCATCTTGGTATTCGCTCTGCATGCTTCCAAAGCCCACAGAGAACAGCAAATTATGCTCTGAAGGCAGCCCTCTGCTGTTTTACAGGGTTTTGCACACTGAAGACTCATCATTTCCAGCAGTCAGCTGAAGCCACAAGAACGGCTGTAATAAACTACAAAGAAAACCTGGCTGATCACTCATATCCCGACTCTCCCACCCCTGTCCCAAAGGTAGGAAAAATAAATAGGCTTGGATACTATGGCATGGCTGCCTGTAAGTTAAATATACTCTGGGAGTATAGACACAGGTAACAATTGCCCTGAGAAGAGAGAGGGGAAGGATGAACAGCACTGAGCATAGTTTGAAAGAACAGGGGTTTTTGGATGTTTCCATGAAATAGGCTGCAGAGAACTTTAGGGTGGGAGGTTGGAAGAGGGATAGCAGACTCACAGTACCAGGGAATTTGGGGGGAAATGGAGCTTGATTTCAAAGAGCATAAAGTGCCAGTCCTCAGTGAGTCCTTCCAGCAAGCAGTCTTTAGCGTTGGCAAAGCAGTGTATGTTGGCCCTCAACAGCCCCATGACCATGATGATGATCATTGTTGTGTCGCACCTACTGGGAAGTTCATTGAATAACTGTTATGTTCACATTGTGCATGGTATTCACTTCCTGTAACCTTGCTACTTCCCTTTAGAGGAGTGCAGCTATGACTCCATTGAAAAATCCACGAACACAAACTCAGTCTTGGAAACACTCTAACGATGTGCAACTAGTAATGGCCCAAGACAGGAAGAGAACACAGGACTGCTTCACTCTGAGGCCTGTGGGTCTTGACTTCCTCACTCTACTGCTTCTCAAATATAAAACCCAAAGGGAACTGTAGCCTCAACGACAACTGACTATTTAAATTAATTGTCCCAAAGAGTATTTAGATTTTAAAAATTACTTCAAGGAATCTGGATATGGTGGGACATGCATGTAATGCCAGGAGGCTGAGGCAGGAGGATCTCAGCCAGGGTTTGATCCCAGCCAGGGTTTCAGAGCAAGTTCGTAGCTAGCCTGGATTACACAGTGAAGTATTATGTTTTTTTTTAAAAAAAAAAACAAAAAACTATTTAATGGAGTTTTAGAAAGACGTCAGAAAAACAGGAATGCAGTACAGATGCTGACTTGGAAATTGGGTTTTTTTTGTTTTTTTTTCTGGAATTGTTCCAGCTTTGTGTATTGAAATGAGTAGTACCAACTCTATTTTGGGGTTTGGTTTGCTTGTCCAGAAAATGAACAGCAGTAGGCAGTCTCTGCGAAGGCCTCTGGCTATGTGAGGCAAACAATGTACAATTATTTTAAAGGCGAGAGTAGAAACAACTTTTTAAAATACCAATAAGTGAATGCTAATACTAATGGAGCATGAACATTAGTTTTAGATCCATTCACAAGAACTGTCGGCCATGAATCCTTACACAGTAGAGGCTTCCTCATCCATGAACATTTGAATAGCTGTTCTCTGAAGAAAACTCCTCAGAGCTCATTTATTTTTCTTGTCCTTCACACATGCCTGACTGCTATAAACAGAGCTTTGCTTTGCCACCACTGCTGTTCTGGTAACTCCTCTAGAATGCAATGCCTTGAAGTGAGTTCAGAATCAAGGCTAAAGATATTGTGGTATTGAGCAGGAGATGACTAAAGTCTGGTTATAGATGAATGGATAAAGCAAATGTGGTTCTTATACACAATGGAGTACTACTCAGCCATAAAGAAAGACACTTGAATCATTTGTGGGAAAATAGACATACCTTGAGATCAGATTGCTAAGTGAAATAAATGAGACACACAAGTATAACTATCACATGGTTTCTCTTATATGAGAAACTCAAAATATGAATAATTTGAAGAGCAAAATAAAAGAGAATTGGTAGGAAACACGGAGACAGACTTTGTAGAAAAGGGAAGGGGATCTAGGAATGGGGGCCAGAGGAGGAAGAGGAAGAGAAGGGGAAGTAAAAATGACTAAGAGGAAATGTGTATATGTACCAATTCCCCAAGGTGAATGTATATATTATGTATCACAAACACATACTAGCAAAGAAAAAATAGATGCGAGATAAATGATGAAAGAAAGAAAGAAAGAAAGAAAGGAAGAAAGAAAGAAAGAAAGAAAGGAAGTAAAGGCCAAGACTAGGGTGGGAAAAGTAAAGCATTCATCTTGGGCACAAAATCTGAGGAGCACGAGAAACCTTAGCAATCAAGTAGTATTTGAATGCAGTATTGCTTACAAAGCAAAATTGATGCTCCTCAAATCCATGATAAACAAAACATCAAAATGTTAACTAAAGTTCAGATCCTGTTCTTCCATGAATTTGCTCCTGCACCTTGCACGTGTCGTGGTCCCCTTGAAACCTGGCCAAACCAGGGGAAACTCACTGGAAAATTTGCTTCAGCTCAGTCCAACTATTTTAAAGCAAAAAAGCAACACAATTGTCTGCTACTTGGTCTTTCAGACAAGTCTCAAATGAGTATGACAGGCTTACAAAAGAAATCTTTCATTTTAACCAACACATAATATAAAGTATTTTAAACATCTCTCTGTTTGATCTGCCCTGTTTCGCTGTTATGCCCTCTTTTTTCTCAATCTCCACTCCATTATTTACTTTTTTTATTTTTATCCATTTAATTAAAGGGAAAAAAATAGCAGGATATAATATAGTAACCCACTTTGACTTTCTATTATCTCGATTTGAAGCCCTGTATTACTCTCACCATCTTGTTTTTGACTGATGTTCCCCTATTCTGTTTTGCTGGATAGTATCAGGTTCGAAAGTTTAGGCATCAGCTGAGAAGATAATGAGATTCATTATATCGCCCATTCTCGTTTTATCTACTTTTGAAGACCTACAATGTCTCCAATATTTTGGTTTTGTCGGTTTTGTTCTTTACTGTTATGTTCAATTGTATTACAACTAATGATATAGGCAATTCTATTAGAGATAGCGGGAGGCATTATGGTAACCATTGTTGATCACCCTGTATTATGTTTTTATATTATCTATTATGTCCACCCTTTTGACTTGACCGATTCTGTTCTGTTATGTCACATTTGGTTTTACTCTCTTCCAAAAAAGCAATAAGAACCGTGGGAGCAATGAAACCCAAAATGTGTAATAGTCATTGTACAAAAGAGAGGAAAAGAAAGTGCTCTAAACTATATAACTGCATGTATATTTAAGTGTATAAGATAAAAAATGATATCACAGAGTTTTATTGGATCATTGAACAGAACTGTTTGCAGTATCATTGTTGGAATGTCCACTCTACAAGCTTTAATTTTGTGACTTGAACAATTATTTCTAAGATGGCAATATGTAATCCATTAACTAGTGATTTCCTACTGCGCATTTTTTTCTTCTGTAAATCTGTATAACTTGTACCCCTTCACTGTTTTTTTTCTTTTCTCCTTAAATAAAAAAAAAATCTCTCTTTGTCTCTGTCTCTTGAAAACTTGGTTTTTAAAAAAAAATAATAGTCAAAAGTATTGGATTACACATTTAAAGCAAAATTTTTTAAAAAATAGAACAAATGTCTTCAAACTTCAAACTATATTTATAAATATATCTTAAATATTACATATCTTTAAAGAAAGATGCAAATCTTCAATGGCCTGATACCACTCTCAGATACAGACATCAGAGATAACACCTCAGCGGCACAAGTGCCTGCCTGGCAAGTGCAAGGACCTGAGTTAGATTCCTGATACAAAAAATTTGAACATTAGAATACGGACATCAAGAAAACTTGAGTTTTCCTTGAAGTTTTATGAATTTCTTTTTTTTCTTGCTCATTCTCTCCTTTTTCTGGCTGATTAGTATATATAACTTGTACTTCTCACCTATTGATCTTTCAGGGTATTTCAGATGCTTTTGTCAGAATGTTAAACTATGCAATAGTGATGTTCCAAACAGTTTAAATGGTAAGAGTATCTGATATTTGAGATTTTTCTGTTTTCCTAGAATGCCTTGCTTCATGTACATATTGTTTAATACACTGGGGGAAGTTATAATTATATGCAAGCCTGCAATCTTGAACACCAAAGATTTTAGGTGCTAGATCAGTTGGAATCAATATTTTCAATTCTAGATTTTTGAGTACTGTAGTGCTTACCCTCATTTCTCTATTTTCTATTTCTGTAGTGACTTTAGTGCCAAACATGGGTCAGTCAGATCACTTGATAAATTAGCAATAACATTTTTTCTGGTCAGTGTGATGACTTTGTATTTGGGAATGAGCTGTTAAATAATACTTGAAGAAAATATTTCCCTTAACTTGTTATAAAGGTTAAGTTTTGTTTGACTGTGTGTACAACAACTAGGCCCAGCATATATACACATATACTGCACGTGAAGTGATATATGTGTGTATGCACATACATATTGCATCTCTGTATATGTTATTGAAACGTCACAATTGTTCTTCAGTGTCTGCAAGGGA